CTGATAGATTTCAGATGTAGAACACAACAATCTCCTGAAGGACCAGATCCTGCTCAGTCCCACTCCCTCCTCTCGTCTCCTCTTCCCGGTCGATGTGAACAGCCTCACGGTTTTCCTCCTGCTTTTTGACGTCTCCCCTCCCGTTGTCATGGTTACGGGAGTAGGAATGTGTCTTTCGGTTGGAAGAGCCGATGATGAAGGAACCGGGAGGATCCATAAATTAATCTGGGCTCATCAGGAGCTCACCGAGCCGACGCCTTACTGACTCAAATGCCACCCTGGGAGGGAGGAGGAGGAACTCCTGATGAACGAGGAGCTAAGGAGCAGGAGGCCGTCCAGAACTTACCTCTCCAGCGTGTTGGTGTGCCACTCCTGCAGCATGAGGTCCAGGAACTCATAGCAGCGCCTGCAGGGAGGACAGAAAGAAGACGAGAACCTCTGAGCAGAGTTTACTGGAGGAGGAGGAGAGGAGAGAGGAGGGAAGGAGGAGCAGGAGGAGAGGAGGAGCAGAACGATAAGAGGAAGGAAGGAGAGGAGGAGAAGAGGAGCAGCAGGGTGAGAAGAGGAAAGGAAGGAAGGAGACGAGGGGCATCAGGATGAAAGGAAGGAAGGAGATCAGGGACAGAGTGACGGAGGCGCTGCAGGAAGACGGTTAGAGGAGCTGGTACCTCCTGACAGCCACAGACTTGGAGGAGCAGTTACTGGTGATGATGGGGATGAGGCGGGGGTAGTGGGTGTGCTGAAAGAGAAACAGGCTTTAGTGTCTGGGTCGATCAGCATCACGCCGTCCTCCTGGACCGCAGCCTCACCCGCAGGATGAGGCGGATAGCCGCCATCCCTGACGTGGCCATGACCTTGGCGCTGTTGGGTACCAGGTTCAGCAGGGTGGGCATGACGCTCTCCGCTCCGTGGTCAAATTTGTTCTGCAGCACCGAGGACAGATGCCTGATGGAGACAGAGGGACAACAGGAGACGTGAAGGACGAAGAGCGTCTCAGATAGAATCCATCCACATTAGAGCGAAGCAGAAACGCCTCAGTAGCGTCCCCACTAAGCCAGGGGTGCCAACACCGTGCCATACCTCAGGGACATCCTGAGGCTTTACAGGATAAAGTAGTAACATTTCGGGAATAAAGTCGTAACACTACAACAATAAAGTCGTAACATTACAAGAATAAAGTAGTAACACTACGAGAATAAAGTAGTAACATTACGAAAATAAAGTCATAAGATTACGAGAATAAAGTCGTAACATTACGAGAATAAAGTCGTAACTCTACGAGAATAAAGTCCTAACACTACGAGAATAAAGTAGTAACACTACGAAAATAAAGTTGCTACAGTATGAGAATTAAGTCATAACACTACGGGAATAAAGTTGTAACACTACTAGAATAAACTCGTAACATTACGAGAATAAAGTCATAACATTACGAGAATAAAGTCGTAACACTACGAGAATAAAGTTGTAACACTACGAAAATAAAGTTGTAACACTACAAGATGACATTATTCCCGTAGTGTTAGGACTTTAACACTACAGGAATAATGTCGTAACACTACTAGAATAAAGTTGTAACATTACAAGAATAAAGTTGTAACACTACGAAAATAAAGTTCTAACACTACAGGAATAAAGTCGTAACACTACTAGAATAAACTCGTAACATTACGAGAATAAAGTCATAACATTACGAGAATAAAGTCGTAACACTACAAGAATAAAGTCCTAACACTACGGGAATATTGTCGTAACACTACTAGAATAAAGTTGTAACATTACGAGAATAAAGTCATAACACTACAGGAATAAAGTCGTAACACTACTAGAATAAACTCGTAACATTACGAGAATAAAGTTGTAACATTACGAGAATAAAGTTGTAACACTACGAGAATAAAGTTGTAACATTACGAGCATAAAGTTGTAACACTACGGGAATAAAGTCGTAACACTACGGGAATAAAGTCGTAACATTACAGGAATAAAGTTGTCACATTACGAGAATAAAGTTGTAACACTACGAAAATAAAGTTGTAACACTACGAGAATAAAGTTGTAACACTACGAAAATAAAGTTGTAAGCAATCAGAGATCAAAGATTAAACCCAGCAGCCCTCAGAGGTTAAACCCTGCAGCCTTCAGAGGTTAAACCCTGCAGTCCTTAGTAGTTAAACCCTGCAGCACTAAGAGGTTAAACCCTGCAGTCCTTAGAGGTCAGAGGTTAAACCCTGCAGCCCTCAGAGGTTAAACCCTGCAGTCCTTAGTGGTTAAACCCTGCAGCCCTCAGAGGTTAAACCCTGCAGCCCTAAGAGGTTAAACCCTGCAGTCCTCAGAGGTCAGAGGTTAAACCCTGCAGCCCTCAGAGGTCAGAGGTTAAACCCTGCAGCCCTAAGAGGT